AAATGGGGAAAGGACCATAATGTTTCTTCGTGCATCGTTAAACTTACTTCCGGCAACCTGACGAGTAGATCGTGAAATCGACCTGGCTGCTGTGGTGCACTGTGTTCGACGAAACTTCGCAGACAGCTCATGTACCGTTCTTGTATCTGTTCTAACTCCAGTGTACCTCCTCGTGCTAAATATAATACAAAATAATAAATTGAATGTTTGTCTTTTCGTGTGGTATAGTTATAATAAAGTTTTATTCATTATTACGATAAACAAAAAAAAATTATATATGCACAATTACGAAGATCATGTTATTGCTTTGAATGCTTACATTTTGCATCTCCAATTGCAGCATTATCAAAAGGAAAAAAAGAAACAGATAACCTTATGTATTATTATGCGTAATTACGCGTCGCGTATACTTCATTAATACAATAATGAATTATTCTAAAGATATATATATATATATTGTCACGCGCGTGAATTTTCGTTTAGACATATATTTACCTTGCGAGAGCATGGTGATCACTTTTAGACAGACGTATTCCTCCATCCTTAATCTCACCCGCCTGAACATAAGCGTGACATAAGTAATTTTTTCCACCATGAGCCCTACGTCTTGTCGTAATTGGTCCATGGTTATCGATCGGCCCATCATGCTAGTTAGGCACGTTTGGAGCGTAAACATGTTGTTGGAAACCTGTTAAGAGGGAGGATAAATGATTATTTTATTGTTCTCTTTTAATGTTTGACAGTAGTACAAGTCTGTATTTAGTCAGACCGATCGGTTAAGAAATTCAAAATATATTCGTTATCTATCTTTGACAATTAGATTTGAAGGAAATTTTTTGTTCTACGGGTAAAGTTGATACGAACGATGATATATATTTTATATATATATATATATATATATATATAAAAAGAAAAAAAAGATATAATAATTACTTCTTGCATAAATTCCGCGCCCGTTCCATCCGAGGTTACATTGGCGAACTTGTGCTGACCGTGCATCGCCTGATAAGCGGAGGTGGTCAACACGAGGAGTTCGTGCCACTTGTGAGTGAGCAGCCTCGTGTGAACTTCAACCGGCAGCTCAAGGTAAAACGGTAACCTTTTGGTCCACTGCACCAACTTGTACACTATGCTGTCTCCTATTTGACACAGCTTTTCACTTAAATCTGATTTGTGGTCCAGCAGCTCGTCCAAGTTCTGAGAAAAAATCAGATAATACCGATTTTAATAAAAATTTCAAAATCATTTCAATTATAGTTTTATTAATTACCATTTCATATAATATTTAATAATATTTGTTTATCTAAGAAATACATATGTACCCTTAACGTTGCAATATCTTGGAACTCATCGCAATCTATGAGCGTTTGAATCATATCGAGGGTCGTGTCCAAAGGAAATGCTCTATCCCTCGAACTACTAACAGCGTTATCTAGCCTCTGCCGTAGGTGTACCACCTAGAATAAAAATAAATCAAATATTTTAATCACTATTTTATACGTCCAATTAAAATATCATTTACGAATAATATCATTTAGAAAATCGTAAGAAATTTATCATTAATATTATCACGAATGCGTGTTCATTTCCAATTCTCACTCGTTCAAAGTCGGTCGGTCGGCCTTTCACTGACCTTTTCAGGGTACTTCCTCGAAATACTTCCTCGAGGTCGGTATTCTTGGATCGTGTAAAAGATGGAAAGGGAGAAAGAGAGAGAGAGAGAGAGAGAGAAAGAGAGAGTAAAACAAGAACACGAGGTGGTATAAAATTATATTGTTATATAAGGAAATAAATTAAAAGATCATCCTATAGAGAATTTCTATTTATTTTTCTATTAGAAAACAAAAAAAAAACAAATAATTAAATCAAAAAAGTATATGTCCAACTTGTTCTCACTCGTAATAAGATTTTTCACGCACCCTTTTGCATCGTGGGAACACGATGTCGCATAGTTTGTTGACTGAAAATGCTCGAGGGTGGTGAGGAAGGGGGGGAGTGGGAGATGGTAGGGTGGGAGGACAGAGGAGAATACAGAGGAGAGGAGAAAGAAAAGGAGAAAAAGGCGGAAAGAGGCAGACGAAGGTGACGGGGAAGGAAGGGGAGGGGGTAGAGGGGGTGTGGTGGGGAAGGTGGTGAGAGGTCAGTGTCCCTTGCGCAGACTTTCACGAGTTACGAAACGGCCGGAGAACTGCCCGTCCTTGGCACCGGTTGCCGCTGATTTTCTATTGTCCCTACCCGATCGTCATCGTGCTGTTTCACCTGGATGATCCGGACTTTTTATGGATACCTTAAGTACGAATCCGTTATTATGATATCTCATTTACGAAGCTCACGATATTTTAGCGGATCATTAGGTAGGTTCGTCGTTTCGTTAGAGAAACAACGGTCTCCCGTGTTAGAAGTTAAGAAATGTATTCTATTTTATGATCCATCTTTAGAAAAAGAAAAAAAAGAAAAAAAAAGAAGAAAATAATAGAAGGGAAATTGTTTGCGAATAACGTTTAACGAAGAAAATCGATTTCGTTTGGATTTATCTATCGATATCTATCCGATATATATCTTTGATGAGATAGATCTTTCATTCGTAGGAAAAACATATTAGATATATAGAAAGAGAGGATAAATCGGAGAGACGCTGATGTTGATCAAATTGGCTTTCGAACGAGCAAGCTGCTGCTGTTGCTGTTATTGCTGCTGACTCTGTGTTCGTTCTATCTATTGGCTTTCGTAATGTGGGAAACCTTGAGGCTTGCGCAAGATAACTCGTAAGAAAGTGAAATTGCAGCGAAGAGTTCATTCATTTCAGGATCAACATGATGGAAGACTGGAACTAGCTTTAACATACTCGCGTGCGCGCGCGCGTGCTCCTGTGTATGTTAATACGTCGAGTATGAGAGTTTCGAATAGTTTTTTTCTTTTTTTTCTTTCTTTCTTTCAATTTTCAATATTCTAAAGTGGATAAATATATGTAATATATAAGTAAATGTGCATATGTAGAGATAGGAATAAAAAATATTCTATTGCATCGAACAACATGATCGAAAAGCGTAAAAGCGTATTATTATTATTATTATTATTATTATTATTATTATTATTATTATTATTATTGTATTTTCTAATAAAGAAACTTGTTCGGGAGAGAAGATGATAGAAGTCGACAGATTGACAACGATTTGGAACGTCCGTGGTTCGTGTCTAAGAGTAAAGCAGCTGGTTCGAAAGTGAAAGTGAAGATGCCTTCGGGTAGTTCTCATCAGAGATCTCGAACGAATGAACGGATTCTACGGGTAAAGATCAACTTTTGTCGAGCCGCGCTCGATTTCTAACTGGAGCCAAGCGAAATAAATCACTTAAATTGCTAGCTTCGTATACGGAATTCTACGGTATCGGGGATCTTACCGAGAAGTTCATTCGCGTGTATTAATATCTGGTTCACAGAGAGTTATCCTAGCGAAAGAGAAAGCGATGTAGTTCCAATTGGGATTTTAACGTTCGTCTTGAACGTCTGTTTTCGTGCCGGTCGATCAATCAATATCAAGTTAAAAGTAAGAATAGGACATGATCGCGATGAGAGGATCGTGATCTTAGTTGACCACGTTGACCAATGAAATGTAAGTAGATCGTCAATTGGCACCATTGATGTTGATTGGTTGGTAAGAATGATTTGTCGCGAATTCGAAGAGATAAAAGAAAGGAAAAATATATTATAATCACCTCGGAAGGGTTGGTGAGAGCAGTCTTCAGGATCGTTCCATTGACCAGGTGGCCCGAATGGGCAGGGTGACTTGGATGGCTGGGAGTAGGTTGCGAGTTGAGCGGATCGCCCGACGAAATTTTGTGATGATGGAGGAAGCTACCAGCGAGCTGTGCGTGCTGTTGCTGACTGTGATGCGCAGCCACAGCTGCTACCATGTGTTTGTCCAACATCGTCGGGCCCATGGTACCTTTACTGGCACCAAGGGATCCCGACCCGTTCACACCACCAACGTTACCGCCGCCACCCATGCCACCCATGTTCCCACCGCTCATCCCACTTCCTTTGTTACTCTTCTTATGCTTCTTGTATTTAACCTGAAAATTATAATCGTTTCATTTTCTTTTTCACCTCTACGTATCAGCGCGTACCTTCCGAATCATTTTGTTTTTTTTACCCCCGCCCCCCCATTTTATTGCATTTTAATATATCAACCTTATAAAGATTATAGACGGCACCAGAATTTCTTCCACCAGGCATCCGGTCTTCTCGAACGGCTTGCAGGACCATACCCTGTTCGATACACTTTTTGAAGCGGCAGTACTGACACCTGTTTCTCTGTGCCTTTGTGATTTCGCAGCCACCTTCTGCTACACACGTATACACCCGCCTATTTTGTACAGTCCTTTTGAAGAAACCTTTGCACCTGCAGCAAAATCGATCCATGTTCTTTCTTTTTTGTTTCTTTTTCTTTTTTGTTTCCTTTTTTTTTTTGTTTTTTTTTTACACATTACTTCAAATCGCTCGAAAAGTGCGCAAGATGTTCGCGACAAAAGAATTAAAAGTTGTTTCATTTTTAATCGAAACGATTTGAAGGAATAAGAAAGAAAGTAAAAAAAGTTTTATCGTGCAAAACGTCCTATCTCGTTTCGTGTCAGACAACGAAGGTAAAAATTGCAATGTGGTCAGACAACGATACCCAATGGTGATATCCAGAGAGTTAATCTGGAGTATCCTTACGTAAATTTTCAAGAGAGATATTTTTCAAGGAATATTTCTTTCACCTTGGTTGGATATCGTCAGCTGGGGAGATGAAAGAAGCGGGAAGTAGGTTGATAATTAAGAACTTGTACGGTGTGCTTGAAAGAAGCTTTTTTTCTTCTCCTTATTAACTTTATACACCTCTAGCTATAGTTTATTTAATAGAAGGAAAGTATAAATTGTTGGATGGTCAATGGGGATTAATTTCGATGGCAAGGATGCCATCTACAATGGATGATGATTTAAACGAAAGAATCGAGAATATTCATCGAAGATCTTTGTCGTATATTATTTCAAAGGGGTTTCTGTTGAAATATAAAAAATGAAATGAAAGGAAACTTACCCCTCGCACGTGATAATGCCATAATGCAATCCGGTGGCTTTATCCTCGCAAATCATGCAGATCATGGGCGTTTCGTCTTCCTCGTGTTCTTGAGGCGGTAACGGTGGGGCAGGTGGTGCGACCGACATTGATTGCGAGGCCGCCTCGGACTTGATGACCCCGCCGTTTCTCACCCAAGGCTGACTGGAGCCCGATGCCGTCAGATTGAGAGCTTGCATCTGCTGGGCAGCCGGCAGTTGCGTTAAATCGCCGGCCCATAGCCTCTCCATGTTGAGGGGTGGCCCGGACGAATAGGAAACGGAAGGTGGTTTTCCTCTGGACTCTTGTCCGAGGTTTAGGAGAAGTTGGGCCGCCGATTCCTCCGAAGAGGAACAGGAAGCTGCCGCGGCTGTGGCCGTCCACGAGGCCGCGGGTGGTGGTACAGGGTCCGAAGGTGGCGTCGTCCATACCATCGTCCTAACGCCACCGATTTCTCCCATGACCACCGTGGGCGACGGTCTCGGTGGTGCTGGGGCTGGCCTTTGGGCTGGGGGCTTCATTCCTGCGCCTACAAAATTCAACATGAATTGAAAAATCTTTTAAATCGAACCAATTAATAACGGCAAAATAATGAAATTTCTTTGATAGATCACCCTTAGACGCATCGAACTTACACGAGGACGCCGTTGTAGTTGCTCCCGTACTACTGGAACTTCCACTGCCGCTATTACCAGTCTCCGTACTCAAAGTAGTGCAGCTACTGGTGGAAACCGTGGCAACGTTTTGTCCATAACTAACGGCGCTACTTATTACACCATTCAATAGCCTTTGCGTAGCGAATCCCTGTACACCGGAATTTTGTGACCAGAATTGATGATGAGCTAAAAGATGAGGCGGAACCGAGGGTGCTCGCGCCCTCGGCGATGCCTGCTGCTGCTGTTGCTGTTGCTGTTGCTGTTGTTGTTGTTGTTGTTGTTGTTGTTGTTGCTGTTGCTGTTGAGAGACGTGAGCCGAACTACCGGTAGGACTCATGCTCTGGTTCGGATTGTATTGCGACGACGGACTGTTCCGGTGACTAGGCTGGGTGGATGTCTCCGTACGAACGCCGGAATTACCGCCACTGCCACCACCTCCACCACCTCCGCCTCCGCCACCTCCACCGTCAAAGACCGAATTATCGGACTCTTCTTTCATTTGAACAGACGAGAGATCACCTTTGTCAGGACTCTCGCTCCTCGAGGACGGTTCTAGAGGCATTGGTGTCGTGGAGACAGCTTGCACGGGTGAGTAAGGTGAAGACCTGTTTGGTGCTGGAGTACTGGAACGTTGCTGCTGCTGCTGCTGTTGCTGTTGTTGTTGCTGTTGCTGCTGCTGCTGCTGCTGCTGCTGTTGGTGATGATGTTGTTGTTGTTGTTGTTGTTGTTGTTGTTGTTGTTGTTGCTGTTGCTGCTGTTGCTGCTGCTGTTGGTGATGGTGTTGCTGCTGCTGCTGTTGTTCCTCGATTATTCTAAATCCCACCATCGTTCCAGTATCTGGGAAGACCGAATCAGGTGAAGCACGATCCGTGCACGTTGTTTCGCGTAATTCCTGACCACTTCCTCCACCTCCTCCTCCGGCACTCCCACCGTTACTTCCTCCACCTGCCCCGGCAGCTCCTCCACCAGCCATGGCAGCTACTCGCAAAGGATCTCGAGGTGTTCCTGGACTTGGGCTGCCCAGGATGTACTCGCTCTTCACTTTGACCATGGGACAGTCCGGCGAGCCTGGCATGTTGGCGTCAGGCGACAGGGTCGAGGTATCCGCCATGCTCTCCCCTGGAGCAGGAAAGTTTATGGGTGAAGGTGCGTCCGCCGGCTGGATCCCGAGCGGTGAGCCTGCTGATCCGAGGGATACCGGGGAGTCTGAGAAATAAGGCGTTGGTGTCTCGTTTATAATCAGCCTAATTTTATCAAACTATTCTCCTTGGTTAGGACACCCTATTTTCTATCGAATTATCGAAAACGATTGCGCGTTATCGAGGAAGAAAATCTCATGATGGTAAGAGAAACCTATGCGTTTCGAAATGAAGATCGTAACGATTCCATCCAACGTCAAGCCAATCCTAAAAGAACTCTCGATCGGAATAAATCGGCGATTCATTTATCGAATCGAATCTAAAATTGACATCGCGTGAGCCCAACGAAACGGTTTAAGGCAGTCAAAATATATTCTAGGTTTGAAGGTGTGGCAAGTAAGACTGCGAAAATCTTTCCCCTTATTTCTTTATTTATTTATTTATTTATTTCTTGATAGAGTACGCGAGATAACAAGTGTGACACGAAAGTGTAACACAGTCATGTGTCGCGGAATGTGTAGCTTTGTGAAAAGGATCTGGGGCTATGGCTGGCTATGGTTCGTTCGTGTAGGTCAAGGAAGGAATGCAGTTGACAAGGCCGAGCTGTGATTGTGGGTACCTAGGCACCAGTTTCCATTCTATTAATACTATGATCGCGATAGATATCGGTACGGATTAAAATCATTTGTACGCGAAGCTACACACGCACATTTTTCTCCCTTTCCCTTTTCATCAATATTTATCCCTTTGGCCGTTCAAAGCCCTTCTTTTAGGCTACAAATGGATTCCGTATAAACATCGCAATTTATAGAATGAACGAAATGAATAATAATGTGAATATTTACCGAAAATCGATGAGAAGACGTTCTTGAATTTCAAAGTATCGTAATAGCGATCGAACAACGTGTACGAGTCGAACGACAATGGCAATCGAAAGTTATGCTGCCGAAAATTGTAGTAACCGTTGTAGGAAATATGATCGAAATTATTATACGGATTATACATATACGGATATGTCAAAAATCCTTGATAAGTCGTATGATGAAGCATTCTATTATCCATGTTCCATGGATTCCAATTTTCTCCTGACAAATGGTGACTCGGTGCGATGGATACGTTATTTCCTATTGGAAATGTCATTTTTCTTCTATCTCGGATCGACATACGTTTCTATCTGTACAATTTTTCGTATATAGATACGATTAAATAATTGTTATTTTATTTTCTTAATTTTGTTCTCTTTTCCTTTCGTGTAATTTATCTTCTTTAATATGTCGTTCAAGAGACAAATATTATGTTTGATTTATTTCAATTTTCTTTCTCAAATTAAAATCATTTAATTTTAGTTTAATTCACTTCGAGAAGAGTGTATGTAGTTCTTCAATAATCACTTTTCATATTTTGAATAAATCCGCGATGAAGAAGCTCGGAGTGATTTGATTCGAGAATTTAAGTAGTAACAACCGACATTAGTCAAACGCAATTCAGTAACGTAGCATCTTTCATCGTAGAAACTCAGTTAATCTTTTTACTCCGTGAGTATATTCATATTATTTATATATAATACAAGTAAATATTTAACTGATAGATCGAATTACTTTAATTAAAAAATGATTCTCACAAAACGCGTGCCTGTGTGTGTATAAATATTAATAATAGATTTATATCACTTTTGATTTCCATTTAATCTATTACAATTCACCGATCTCGTATAATAAATTAAAACCGGAATTAACTTTTAAAATAGAAACGATATATATATATATAATATCTCCCGTAGAAATAATTTATAACCATAAACTATAATAATATTAAATGTTACGTTTGCGTTTGTGTGTGCGTGTCTAATAATAAATCAAACAGATATTTTCCGGATTAGGATTGATAACGATAACAAAATTTATCGCGATAAGAGAAAATGAATTTTCCACGTAATTTCCAAACCTATCTATCCCTTCTAATTATTTTTTCGGTATTTCTCTTGTTTCTTTTTTTCTTCTTCTTCTTCTTCTTCTTCTTCTTCTATCCTGTTGCTCGAAAGTATAAGGAAAAACGTATTAGATGATGATAATCCAGTCGTCGTTACTCTCGTAGTACTTCATTGAAGATCCAGTTGAAAATTCGTTTTGATCACGTCAAACGCAAATTGCGTCGTTTCTCTTTCTCTCTCTCTCTCTCTCTCTCCTTTTCCCTCTCTTTCCCCCGCAACGAGCGTTGAATGTTCACGTGTAATCGAGAGGGATCAATGATTCACCGAGAGCGTCGCGTTGTTGAACGTATCTCTCAACGATGATGATGATGATGATGATGATGATGACAACGACGAGTATCGAACTAGCATACACACATATGCTGTACAAAAACCCTTATCGATACTATTCACTGGGGGCGGGGGGGGGGGAAAGTATTCCAATGAAATTAGAGAAAAAGAAAAACTAAAACATTCATTCCCCGTGACACTTAATAATCATCGATGATTCTTCTGAAATCGTTTTCATCCCTTGTTTGTTCGAACATTTTTGACGTAATGACAGCGGGCCGATTTTGTTTGTTCCCGAACGCGTATTTCCCGAACGTTTAAGATCGATTCTAATAACAGTCTCTGACCTTTAACCGATATGCTAGGTCGCGAGGGTCATTGGTATCGTGCCGTTTGCAACCGTGTGTCGAAAAATCGATGCAGCTCGTTCTCGCGAACGCGTCTTCGGATACAAATAGCTAGTATAGCTAGCTAGCTGTTTATTTGATACGACGTACTTTACGCACTTTTCTATTTTTTGCTTACGACGGAAAGAGAGTGCAAAACAAACATATATATATATATATATATATATGTTTGTATGTATGTATAAAAATAGTAAAGAAGAATAAGAAGAATAAGATTAAGAATAAGAATAAGAAGAAGAAGAGGAGAAGATGAACAGCACGTGTTAACGCGAGTTCAAGCGAAGCCGAACTAGCACCGGTGCACGTCCGGGAAACCGCGTGATATTCAACCCTGCACTGCCACCTACCCTCCTCTTAGATTTAACCCTCCGCCTACGCGGTCTCTTCCTCTCACCCACGTCTCGACCTACCCTTGCCAACCAATGACGACTACGACGACGACGAAGATAACAACAACGACGACGACGACGACGATGACCATTCGAACCTTCCTTTCTTTCTTCTTCGACTCAAATCAACATCTTTATTATTTTTTGGGTATCTATCTTAACCGACCACATAATTCGATTCTATTTTCCCATCGTTAACCTTCTTTTTTTTTTTTTATCTATTTCCCACGTGTCTAATCGTATCAAGGTTATGAAAACCATAGAATTTGTGATTCCTTTGAAACAAGGACACGGTTTAAATCTATAAGCGTATTAGATATTATCGATGATGATGATGATGATGATGATGATGATGATATCAAAGAGATTAAAGATTTGTTACGATAGGAGAGATCCTTGATAAGATGAGATGAGACGATGCGGTTTGATATATTCTGCAAAATTTCTAATTAATATCTTTTCGTATGCGTTAGAATATAGTTGATGATAATTAACGTGTCCTCTATGTTGCCTCGGTAAGAAGTTAAACGATGATTATTTTATTTTCTACGTGTCCTAGTTTCTTCTTCGTTGTAGACGTATAAAAAAGAAAAAGAAGAAGAAGAAGAAGAAGTAGAAGAAGTAGAAGAAGTAGAAGTAGAAGTAGATGAAAATAATGTTGAGTTCTTACCGTCGCTACTACATCGGGAGTCGACCTTTCTCCTTTTCAACTTGAGGTCTTGAAACAAGCTCATGTTGTCTAGCTCACACGGGCTGCTCGTAAGGGTCATAATTCCTGTAACAATAATTATACATAAATTAATGATCGTCGATATATTATTCCATTAGAATACGATACTTTGAATAATTATTAACTTAATTATACTTTTATATTTTTAATAATATTCCAAGAAAAGAACACATGCATATGCATGTTCATATTGGAACATAAAAAATAACGGAAATTTGTATAAACTTACGTAACAATAATTGCAATTTTAAATTAATGTAATTAGCAACACATGAGAGAATTAGGTGTGGAAAATGATATCAACTGTTGTTAAAGCTAACGATTCTTTGAATAAAAAATATTTCTCAATGAGATGAATTATAAAAGATGAAATATCGAATAGACGCGTTTGCGATTAGATTGAAGCGCATAATTTGCCATTAACTTTTGTTCAGTCTATAACAGACAATTGGAGGGTCGTAACATCGTAGAATATCGTTTCGCGGTTTAACGTAGTAAATCCCCTACATCTTGACCATTTTCATGACGCATCACGTAGATATACATAAGCGTGTTACGACTTGCTACCATGCTTTATGGGGTTCACGAGACCTCTGGTTTCTTCGGAACACATACGATTCTCCTTGCAATAATGTTAAATAATGCTATAATTGGGGGGTCGAGTCTAGGCGATTCAGACTAGTGTTCTTCTGTATGAGAGAGATTGCAATAAACTGATCTACTGGGTGTCCAACGACAATCTCATTACTTTCTTTAACAATCTACACGAATTTGCAACTTTGTTTATCTTTTTATAAAAATATTAGATTCACCTATAATAATTTAGTAGAATCACACGAGTCATTTGTTTAACTTAGTGTTGTGGCAAAAGCACACAAACAAACAAAATTCATAGTAAATTTGTTAGATAATTGTTGAGATTTATTTTCTAATAAATTTTTCTATGAAAACACCCCCCTCTCATCCTCCCCTCCGACCCCACCCTTATACGCGTAATATATCATTGACAAATATTCATATAACTGCAGTTACGTGTCAGTTGCATCATGTCATTTTAATAACACTTCATTCTTCTTCTTCTTCTTTTATACTTCTTTTTTTTTTCTTCTACTTCTTCTCGTACTTAATCTTTAGAATCGTCATCCTGATAGCAATAACTCCGGCACGTAATCGTTCAAACGGTCTGTGAATAATTAGGTACACGGCACGCCTGCTCCAAGGATCGGCTTACGACGAGTCTTGTTTTTATGGCGTCTTGAAGAACCGAACGAGACGAGTTCAGTTCTACTTTTGGGTCATTTTAATCATACCGCAAGATCATCGTTATCGTAGTTGTCGTTGATGATCGCACTCGTAAAGTCTGCTAGCTAGCTAGCTAGCTAGCTAGCTTGCTTACTTGCTGACTCGAGAACCCTTTGATCCATCATTCTCAACGGGTCAAGAAAAAAAGAAAGAAAGAAAGAAAGAAAGGGAGAAAGATAGAATGAAACAACTTTGTTGTTTGCGTTGGTGAATGAATGAATGGGCGTATTCAAGACGAAATAATATTTTATGGGAATGTTCATTCAATTTACATGATTATACTGATTGATAATATTATATACGCAAATTGAGCTATTATAAATATGTAAATGTTAGTTACATAGATATTCCGTTCAACGTATACATACAAAATAAAATACTTCTTTGCGTGACTTAAAAAAAAAACAGATTAATTTTTCAATAAAAGTAGAACACATTCTTCTTTTCTCTTTCGTTGACTTGAGATTGAAATTATCTCGCGTAACTCGAACGTTTCGAAGAAGTGAGAAGTCATTCTTCTTCTCGAAAGTTGTTGCTTTCCTCGTGCGGAATCATTTGGAAAAAGGGGAATAAGTTTTTTCCTTTTTTTTTTTCTCTTCCAATCGAAACGTCGTTCGATATATCGCGAGATATAGCAGGGAGTCGGTGTTCTTCTTCAATTGGAAAGATATTTTTAATGCGGCCCGATCAATGCCGAATTTAGGTAAAACGGTTGCTTGGACGATGAGAAACCTTGACTCGTTTATTAAAATTTTACATCGAAAAGAGTATCACCAGTTGTGTATTTAATATTGTTTAACGAAAAAGCTTCTACTATTGTTGACCCTATAATAATTATTATTCCAAAAAAGAAAAAAAAACAAGGAGAAAAGTTAAAATTTAAAAAAGAAAAAAAAAGGGAGTAAAAAATTTTGTGTGTACAAACAAAATATATCTATATATATATATGTAACGTTACTTGAGGAGCCGCCGGTTTGCTTGGTCGTCTATATATATTAAAGAGCCACGTGGGCGAGGAGTGTGTGAGTTTGTTAAGCGCATACGACGACAGATGGAGTTGCATGTGCACTAATATACACAGGCTGACGCGGGCGTTGGCATGCGCACGAAGAGTAATCGAGATAGAGAGTGAGAGGGAGACACGCGACGGTGTGTAGTAGTAGTAGTAGTAATAGTGTGTAGCAGTAGCAGTAGGGTATCTCTACACATGCGCGTGCGTGCGCGCGCGCGCACGTTTTGCGAGAGAGTATTGGAGAGTGGGAGAGAGGGAGTGAGTATAACGAGAGTGAGTGCATTCGCAACGCACACACATACGATATATATTCTCCTCTCTTTCTCAATTCCCCTTTTGTTAGTGTGTGTAAAGGCGCGTGTACGTGCCCCGAGCCGGGGTCCTTGCTCCCTGCCGTATGTGGGTCAGCAGTCTCACACACGCTGCTATTCTTGCGTAACCAATGCATGCATACGACCGAGGGCCGACGACGCCGCCACTGCCGCCGGCGTGCATGCACATGCACATGCACATGCACAACACGACACACCGAGGAGACGGAAAGTGCAGCCAATGCGCTAACCTACGGAGCGCCACATACGTTACTCTACACGACTACCTACAAAGAAGACTATAAGTAAGTAGTTTCTCTCTAGCTTCTACCCTCCCCCTTCCCCTCTCCCACACTCCCACCCAACCCCACTCCTCTTTTTCTCTCTATGCGTTAACCTCCGAGTCCTAAGCGCAAGCTTCTTCTCTATTTTCTCCCTCACTCTTTCTTTTTATTTCTCTCTATATCGGCCAAGCTTTTTCGAGTTTCACGTTCCACCCTAGGAAAGCAACGCTATTGCGAAGAAGCTTCGTGTTACGCATTTCTCCCTATCTCTCTCTCTCTCTCTCTCTCTCTCTCTCTCTCTCTCTCTCTCTCNCTCTCTCTCTCTCTCTCTCTCTCTCTCTCTCTCTCTCTCTCTCTCTCTCTCTCTCTTTATTTTTGTATACATACGATATTTCTATATTTGCCCTTAGTTTCATTTTGAACGTCCGCATTTTTGTATTATTCCATCCTCCATTGATTTTTGTTGTGAAAAATATGATTCGTGATTATATGTATTATTGTAGTAAGGTTGTATCGCGGAACGGTACGTCCGATTTTATGTAGCATGTAGATTTTACCGCTATAGGGGCCGCGGACGGTGAAAGTGACTCTCCCACGCCATGACATCCTATGACTATGCCCCCCCACCATTTTCTTCCTCTTCTTTTTCTTTTTTTTTTCCTTTTTTCTTCTTCTTCTTCTTCGTCTTCCCGAGTATGATCATGTCTCACAATATCTACTTAGAATAATCTCTCCCCATTTCTTCCTTTTTTCTTTTTCGAGACTTACAATAAATTATTATTCTCCTCTTTCGAATCTCTCCTATTTAACGCGAATAACACACACGCGTTATTTTAAATAGTTATTAAACAAAAGAAAATTAATAATAATAGACAACGCGAAATAAATAACGAAACACACATTTTACTTTTCTTATCTTTTCACACTCGACACCGTTACTAAACGACGACTCATTAAATTCCACCTTATCTAACCAAACGCGTATTCCGTTAATCGTATTGTTATAAAATAATAATATTTCACGTTTTGTTTTGTTTCTTTTGGGAGGAGAGGGGGGAGGAGGAGGAGTAATTCGTCCTTATTTCACAAAATATTCATTTAATTAATTATCCAACTAATGCAACGAACCTATAGTTATCAAATATAAATTGAAGTAAACGAATAGGTGATTTGAAAAATTTCGTGAATAATATTGTGAGAGAGGACACGCGTTGGTGTCCTATTTTTGACAATTGTCGATGAAAAATAATATCAAATGGTGGAATCATGATGGTTACAGGCTTGCTTATGTGTTGTTAGTCTCTGTACGGATGTTCGCGAGCTGGCAGACGGCAAGGAGAGAACGGCCAGTGAGAGTTAGAGAGACCGGTACATTGAACCTCCGCAGTGAAAGTTTCTCTATTATACCACTGGCCTTACCTTACTTTTCCTTAGGCAAACCTTACCGTGTTGTGTCATAAGCTACTACGAGAGAGAGAGAAAGAGAGAAATAAATAAAAGAAAAATAAAAAGAGAAAGAAGAAAGAGAGAGCACCATAGAAAGATCGAAATTCGAGTTCCCGTCCTACTACCGTTACAAATAACGATTCGTTATTTTTAAACTTCACGACTGACTAATGCTTCTGATCTCTTCCCACAAACACGTATATTAGTATCACCAATACACAAACGCGCAAAACGGCACCCAACACTTTCGTCCCTATCCCTTCTCTCTCTGTTTCCTATCTTTTCAAATTCTTCTTTTCTTCTTCTTTTCTTTCCGTTTCCTCCGTCGAATATACACCACATATACATACATAAATACATACATATATACATAGAGACACACCACGGTTCGTTGGAAATCACCGTACACTATATGATGATTTCAAAAAATCTACTAAATAAATTCTTTCTTCTTTCGATCGTTTACACGAATTCAGCGAATTATTATCTTTAGAAATTCTCATTTGCTTTGTGTCGATTTTACGCTCGAAAACGTTTTCTTTTTCTTTTTTAATTATATGCGAAGAGGTGAAGGTGAAGGAGGTGGCAGGCAAGTGGGGGAACGGACGGACGGACGAACAACTTTAATGTCGAAGTTTTGTCTGTTACGAAATGATCAAGTCATCTTTTCTGTCCTTCTCTTTCTTTCTTTCTTTCTCACTCTCTTTCTTTCTCTTTCTTCCATTTTAAAACTGTTGCAATTTGGAGCAAAAGGAGGAATCCCTTACTTTCGAGTTTCTAATGTACGTGCGATCGACCGTGGCTGAATTGGCACGATACCGATCGCGTAAATTTAACTTCCGTTCTTTTAACGAAATAAAGAAATAAATAAAAAATAATAAAAAGTGGAGAAATTTATCTCCAACTTTTTTTCTTCCTGTTTCTTTTTTTCTTTTTTGTATATAAAGATAACGATAATAAATAAAATGAAAAGAAAAGAAAAAAGAAACCACATTCTCTCTGTCGACGAATAAAACAATATTTTTCAATGGATAATTCGTACCTATATGACGACGTTGTTGCAGGACACTCATATTGGCGCACATTTTTCTTTATGCCCAAAAAGTTAGACAAAAAAGTTGTTAAAAATTCCCAGTAGTATCCTTTATTATTAGTAATCACTATGTAATCATCATACTATTAATATTACTATTACTACTACTACACAACACGATACAAACATAATTAAAATGAAATTATTATGAGATCATCGTAGAACGAGGAAAAAATTAATTCACGAAACTTTCAAATCGGGTTACCAACTGGCAAATATTTTTCATCATCGTTTATCGAAAAACGTTTTTTACTCGCGAAAATATAAAAATGTAATAAAACATTTGTTAATTTCACAATCGAATTTAATCGAATTCTCATCGTCTGTTGTAACGGCGATTACGATAAACAGATTGAACGACGACAACGATACAACTAAAATGACGGTGACGATGACTACGAGCTCGAAGTGAACGCCTCGCGAAGCCCAAAGTTTTTGGGCCAAGCGGTTTGTGTGCGGGCCACGCGATCCACCGAACTCATGGATCCACGTTCGGTTAGCATGGTGGTGGTGGTGGTGGTGGTACCGGTGGCCTCGATACCAACCGAGATCCTCCAATCCCAACCAAGCCCAATGCCAAAAACTCGAGGCGCGTGTAAACGAGAACTTTCACTCTCTCGTAGTTCTCGTTGAACCGTACGGCCACGGTTACGAAGGTGGATCTCTTCACCTGGAGATTTTTTTTTTTTACGAATGGGGGCAAAGAGACGAGGAGGAGGGGGGGGGAGAGAACAGAAGTGGCAGGAACCAATGAAATAACCGACGGACCGACGTAGAATCGCCATGACATTCGATCACGGTCGTTATATTACGACAAACTTGCGTGATATTTTGCGTAGAGAAAAAAGGGCTGGTTGGCTGCTTTGCGTTTTATGAAGTTGCCTTCAGAGAGTCCATGCTTGTTTACGAACCAAACAGGAAGCGTTTTGACGCAAACACGATGACGAAAGAATTTCTAACGAGCATTAACCTCGTCTTCTCACGTTTCTTCGTTTCAATACCGTACATACTACGATATATATATATATAGATATATATGGGAAAAATGGTTTTACTTCATTGTTTTTTTATTTAAACAACAAGTATTTTCTTTTGTATTTGATTTGTTAGTATTTACGTTCGTAATCGAACGTTTTGCATTTTTTTCGTATTTTTAAGTATAAGCCAAAGACACAATCGATAAAGTAAGAGAAATTTTATTTGCCGTATAAAATTGTCGCTTTTAGTAAATTCGAGAAAGAGAGAGAGAGAGAGAGAGAAATGGAAGATTCCTTTCTCGCACGAGAGTACTACACCGAGTATTGGTTACGTAAGGAATACGTTGAGTATGTGTGTGAGAATATAAAAGTAGCTGAGAGAGAAATATCTTCTCTTCTCCATATACGGACTGCACCACTTTCGTGATGTTTTTCTCACCGATACATCCATATACACACACACACACACACGCACATTATATGTAAGAAGAAGAAGAGAGCGACAAAAAATGAAAAGAAAAAGAAAAAAAAAACAGATCAAAAAGAATAAAGGAAAGGAAATAAAGAAAGAGAGTTAATCTTTCGTTTTTCATTGCAATTTCACTTTCGATATATCGAACAACCGAAGTGGTCCGGTGGTCGTCTGTCTCTTACGCGATAATCATTCGAAGAAGATCGACTGAATCCCCATATCCTGGATCGGAGTGAAAGAGGGATGGTAAGAGGTAGTTGGATGAAGGAGGAGGAGGAGGAGGAGGAAGAGGAAGAGGAGGGGGCACCTGGATCGACTGGTGTTTCACTTTTTAACCGATAAGAAAGTAACGAAAGTCGTCGATGAAAGTTTCGGACAGTGTCGTGCCGGCTGGACGAGCCAATCCAAAAGTGAGGGGGACAACACACAGAGAAAGAGAGAGAGGAGAGGGAGGTGGGAGGGAAAAGGGAGGGAGGAGAGAAGAAGTCGTGGTTCATTTTGAACGCAAGTCGCGTATTTCGTGCGCGTATTTATTCGACGAAAGCAAAAGTACGAGAAGAGGAGCAGCAACAGTAGCAGGAGGAGGAGGAGGAGGGGGAGGAGGAGGAAGAGGAGGACCTTGTGAGAGGCGTCATCCTCTTCTCTCCTCTGTTTCTTTTTTTTTTTTTTCTCTACTCTTCTTCTCTTATTCTTTTTCTTCTTCTTCTTTAATATCTTTCACGGTGTCTCTCTTTCTTCGAAGATACCGGTTTTTGTGGTGAAACGATAGCATCTTACAGGAAGATCGAACCCGTGAGTGAAAACCATGTCCTTCGTCGAAACAGTGTTTTTTACGTTACGTCATTCCTCCGGTGTATCATTTTTATTTGCATTTGACCTATCTCCGTCGTTCTTTTTACCGAGAATTTTACGATTTCTTTTTTCTTTCTCGTTTGTTCCATTGCATAATTTATTTGTTTTCTTTGTTTTTTTTTTTTCTCTTTTTTTTTTTTTTTTC